GTAGTAGTAGTAGTAATAGTAGTAGTAGTAGAAGTAGTAGTAGTAGTAGTAGCAGTAGTAGTAGTAGTAGTAGTAGGAGTACGATTCGTAGTATTAGTAGTAGTAGTAGTAGTAGCAGCAGTAGTAGTAGTAGTAGTAGTAGTAGCAGCAGTGATAGTAGTAGTAGTAGTAGTAGTAGTAGTAGTAGTAGTAGTAGTAGTAGTAGTGGTAGTCATAGTAGCAGTAGTAGTAGTAGTAGTAGTAGTAGTAGTACTAGGAGGAGTAGTTGTGTTGTTGTTGCAGTAGTAGTAGCCGTAGTAGGAGTAGTAGTCGTAGTAGTGGTAGTAGTAGTAGTAGTAGTAGTAGTAGTAGTAGTAGTAGTAGTAGTAGAGAAGTAGTAGTAGCAGTAGTCGTAGTAATAGTAGTAGTAGTAGTACTTGTAGTAGTAGTAGTAGTAGTAGTAGTGTAGTAGTAGTAGTAGTAGTAGTAGTAGTATTTGTAGTAGCAGTAGCAGTAGTAGTAGTAGTAGTAGTAGTAGTAGTAGTAGTAGTAGTAGTAGTATAGCGATAGTAGTAGTAGTAGTAGTAGTAGTAGTAGTAGTAGTAGTAGTAGTAGTAGTAGCAGTCGTAGTAGTAGTAGTAGTAGTAGTAGTAGTAGTTAGTAGTAGTAGTAGTCGTAGTCGTAGTAGTAGTAGTAGTAGTAGTAGTAGTAGTAGTAGTAGCAGTAGTAGTAGTAGTAGTAGTAGTCGTAGTAGTAGTAGTAGTAGTAGTAGTAGTAGTAGTAGTAGTAGTAGTAGTGGTAGAGTAGTAGTAGTAGTAGTAGTAGTAGTAGTAGTAGTAGTAGTAGTAGTGGTGGTGGCCGTAGTCGTAGTCGTAGTCGTAGTAGTCGTAGGACTTCTAGAAGGAAGGGAGGAAGAAGAAGGGTGGGAGAAGGAAAAGAGCGGAGGGCGGCCCCAGGATTGTGTTGCTCTTTTTGTTTTTGGAATCGGGGCCTTCGGTTTGTCATTTGTAAAAACTGATTCTCTTTAGTCGTTTGTAGTCTCGCATGTAGAGGTGTCCATAGTGGGGCCGGGGACGCACAAGTTCGGGGCCGTGGGGGGGAGGGGGGGAGGAGGAGGAGGAGGGAGAGGAGGAGGAGGAGGAGGAAGACAAGGAGAGAGCCTCGTCTGCATTCTCAGCCTCGAGCCCCTTGGCCTCGATCTCTTCGAAGAAGCTCGCAGCAGACTCGGTGTTCCCTTAAAGGGGAGGTTCCTAGCTTCTCGTGGGAGCTCGGACCCCGGAGGCTCGACAAGCTCGTCTGCTTTGTCGGCGCGGCCACCGGAGTTTCGCTGCAAAGCTGCGATGGTTCGAAGAACAAATCCTCGTGCCAACGTGGCTACGAGAAGTTGTTGGCTTCTGGCTGTTGTTGGCTTGTCGTTGTTCGCTGCTTGCTGTTAGCATCTTATTGTCAGCGTTATGTTGTTAGCTTGTCGTTGGTCGCTTCTTGTTGTTCGCTTGTTGTTGTTGCCTGTCTTGTTGCTGTTGTGGCTTGCTGTTGCGCTGGTTGCTGGAGCTGCTGTTGTGATTGTTGTTGCTTGTGCTGTTGTTGGTGGTGCCGTTGTTTTGCTGTTTGCTTTTGCTGTTGTTTGTGATTTTGTTGATGTTTCTTGCACGTGATGTGCTGTGTGCGTGTGTTTTTGTTCTTGCTGTCGTCGGTTCTGTTGCCATGGTCCCCGTCTCCTGTTTTATCTTTGGCGTCCTCGAGGCCAGTGGTCACCTCGCTCAGAGCGCCCAGCACATTTTCCTCATTCTGCCCGAAGGCACCTCGCTCAGAGTTCCCAGCGGCTCGCGAGGCGCCTCAAGGATGAGTCAGGACTTGGATCCGAGGCAGAAGGCGAGACAGAGCTCGGCACCGAGTGCAAGGCATCAGGCGGCTGCCTCGTCGGTGAGGGCTTGCAAAGGCGGCTGCGCCTCTTCTCGGGCTCGACCCTGCAGGAGTCCAGCTTGAACTTATTGTCCTCGGGCTCCTTCTCGTCGAAGCTCTTGTCCTCGAGTTTGCTGGAGTCCTCCAGCTCCTTGTCCGGGAGCGTTTCTCGAAACGCGCGTTGTCCTCGAGCTCGCTGTTGTTCTGAAGCTGCTTGTCTTCGAGCTTGCAGGTGTCCTGCTTGACCTTCTTGTCCTCGAGTTTCTTGTCGTCGAGGCACTTGTCCTCGGGCTTGCCGGTGTCCTCTTCCAGCGTGGTTGGTTGCGTGTCTTCGCGCTGCTCGACGCCGTCCTCGGTCTTCACCTCCTCGAAGTTCGCGGTCTGCGTGCCGTCTAGCGCCCGCTCGTCGCCCAGCGTTTGCTGGACGAGGAACATCGGCGAGACGACGCTCTCGCCGTCCGGCCGCTCGGCGCAAGGCCAGGAGAACGCCGGGCGATCGTCGTTGTCCGACTCGGCCATCTTCGTTGCTTGACCCGAACAGTGCTTGCGCCACACAGCTTGCGCGGATCGTTGCACCACACAGTTTGCGCCATCCCGGCGATGCATCGGCGGGCCTCGGCGATGTATCGGCAATGCGGTGGGCTTGGCCTGTGCTGTTGTGGCAGCTGTTGTTTGCTGCTGTTGTTTGTTTCGTTGCTGTTGTGGCCTGCTGTTGCGCTAGTTGCTGGTGCTGTTGTTGTGTTCGCTGTTGCTTGTGTTGTTGTTGGTGGTGCTGTCGTGTTGCTGGTTGCTGTTGCTGTTGTGGCCGTTGTTTGTTGTGATGTTGTTATTGTTGTTGTTGCTGTTGTTGTTGTTGTTGTTGTTGTTGTTGTTGTTGTTGTTGTTGTTGTTGTTGTTGTTGTTGTTGTTGTTGTTGTTGTGTGTGAGTGTGTGTGAGTGTGTGTGTGTGTGTTTGTGTGTGTGTGTGTGTTTGAGTGCGTGCGTGTGTGTGTTGTGTGTGTGTGTGTGTGTTTGAGTGTTTGTGTGTGCGTGTGCGTGTGCGTGTGTGTGTGTGTGTGTTGTGTGTGTATGTATGTGTGCGTGCGCCTTTGTGTGCGCGTGTTCGTGTGACCGCTAGGCGTCGAGGATCGATCTTCGGATCGAGGACCCAGGACTCTCGAGTCCATGCTTGGCGATCCTCGGATCTAGGATCCGAAGTGCTCGCAGATGCTCAAGACCAAGATCTCGGTCCCTCGATCCGAGGGTGGAGGATCGAGCCTGCCTGATGGCAGTCTGGGCTCGAGGACGGCGACGGTGGAGATCGACGATCGCCGAGGCTCGATCCTCGACCCCCGGGTCGCGAATCCGAGATGTTCGAGTCCAAGCGCGGCGATCCCTGGATCTAGGCTGCAAGGCGCTCGGAGATGCTCGGAACCACGATATCCGATCCTCGATCCGAGGATCGACGGTCTGAGCTCCTCGATGGCGGTCTGGGCCCGAGAACGGCGACGGGGGCGATCGAGGATCGCCGAGGCTCGAGCCCGAGATCTTCGTGTCCAAGGGCGGCGATCCTCGGAACTAGGATCCAAGGCGCTCGAAGATGCTCGGAACCAAAATCTCCGACCCTCGATCCGAGAATGGAGGATCGAGCCCGCTCGATGTCCGTCTGGGCCCGAGGACGGCGACGAGGAATATCGACGATCGGCGAGGCTCGATCCTCGATCCCCGTATCGCGAGCCCGAGATCTTCGAGGAGGATCGGGTCCAGGACGCAAGGCGTTCAGGGCTGCTCGGAACCAACATCTCGGATCCTTTGATCCGAGGATCGAGGGTCTGGGCTCCTTGATGGCGGCCTGGGCCTGACGACGGCGACGGGGGCGATCGACGATCGCCAAGGCTCGATCATCGATCCTCGAATCGCGAACCCGACATCTTCGAGTCTAAGCGTGGCGATCCTCAGACCTAAGGTCCGAGGTGCTCGACCGAACGCTCGCTTGGAGCGTAAAGCAGATGGGGCTCGAGCGCGTGCCTCGAGACGCTCGCGCGGCGCCCTCGCAGCGAAAAGCTGGGGCGCTTGGCTCGGGGCGCTCGTGCGCCGGGCGCTCGCCGCTCGCCGCCGCTCGGCTCTCAGGCGCCCTTCGGCGTCGACTTGTCGGCCTCTGGCTCGGCCTTCGCGTCGGCCTGGCTCTTCTCGGGCTCGCGCTGGCTGGGCATATTTTCGTGGTCGTCGCGGATCTCGCCGAGCTCTTTGACATGCATCTTTATGTGCTGGTCGAGAGCCGCTGTCTCGAAGCGGAGCTTCCTGTCGGTGCTTGCGCAGTCATGCTTGGGGCGCTTGTCCATATAGTCCTCCTGTTGGAGCTCGTAGGCCATTTCGGCAGTGCGCTCGAGGCTCCAGCGCCACTTGACGACCGCTTGCGCGGGGGCTCGCGCGTGGTCAATGCCGTGCACCACGCCGTTCTCGCGGCACCAGTTGGCTTGGCCGTGTGGGGGGCCGCGTCGAAGAGATGATCGTTTGGCGCGCCGGGGGGGAACTCCTCGGGCGTCATCTCGACGGGTTCGAAGTTTTTGTTGATCGGCAGCTCGAGGTCGCGGGGGCGGAGGAGCTCGGAAGGGGGTATCGGGGATGGCCTTGCCGACGCGCTCGGCGTAGGAGCCGAAGCTGAGGCGTTGGGTGCTCTTCTTGGCAAGCTCGAGCATCTTCGATTTGAAGCTCGGCGTGAGCCAGGAGAGGTTCTCGGGCTGCTCACCGTGAGTCTCGAAGATGTTGTAGCGGTGGGTGTCTTTCTCGCAGTCGGTCTTGTAGAACAGCGCCACCGCCAGCTCGACGCCGTTGTTGTCTTGTTTGTTGAAGATGTGCCCGTGCGCGATGTTCGTAGGAGAACCGCCGTTGTAGACCATCTCGAGGGCGGCTTGCTGTTCGCTCACCGACCACAAGGCGCTGTCCGCCTTGAAAAAGCAGGCCGTCATTCCTGCTGCGTCAGTGCCGTGCGCGCTCGAGTGGCATTGGCGCATCTCGACAATAGCGATCTTGTCCGCAATGAACGACCGTTTTTCGAGGCTCTTTTCGTTCTGCTTGGCCATGCGCTCGTGAATCTCGTTCGAGCTCGGGCTTCCGCTCTGGGCTACGACCCCCGACAGGGCCGCGACCTGCTGGGTCACCGCCTGGGCGCGCTCGGCGGCCTGGGACATGGCTGAGGCTCGCGACGCACTCAAGGGCAACGGTGTGGGGGGATAGGCATTGGGCGGGGGAACATCGACCTGGAGTTGGCGATACGTCGCCGATGCATCTGCGATATGCGCCCGAGCGTGAATCCGCACGTTCCTGGGCATGCTCGGGCTATCGAACCACTCCTTGCGGTCAATGGGCGATTGGGGATCGAAGCGCCCCCTTGTGCCTTATCCCCCCCCTACCGTTGCCCCTGGGGGAGGTGCAGTTCGGTGCCTCGAAGAGGCTCGAAAGCTTGGGGTCTCCGAGACTCGGGGAAGCTCGGGCCTGGGCAGTTGCGGGAGGAGGCGGAAAAGAAGGAGGAGGGGCCACGAACCGTGTGAGGGATGCGCTAAAACATAGATCCATGCGCAGCCTGCTCGAGAAACGCATGAAACTTCAACATCCAATCGGTCCCCATGGCCCTGCTGACTCTGGAACGGTTGAGAAAGTGAGAATCCCATGGCCCTGGCGCATGTTCGTGACTTGGGGAAACTGAAACGGTGAGAGTCCCACAGCCCTGCCACACGCTCGTGAGACCACCATTGCGATGCTCAGCGCTTTTGATGTTGTTGTTAGCCAACATGCTATGATCGCAACTTCGATTCGCAATTCCCCCCGGGGATTATCAAGTTCGGCCCCCGCGCCCTTCCCCACACTTAAATCTCATTGACACGGTATTCAAACACATACAACGGGTTAAGGGGTGGGTGCTGGGTTAGTGAGGCGGCCTCTAGTGCAGCCTGCTCGCCGCTCGGGTCGTCCACGGCCTCCTCCCGCTCCTCTATTCGTCCTTGGCCTCTTCTCCACAGTTATGCCCGATACGGATACAGCCCCCGTTCTCCCTTGGCTGTGTGCGGAGTTGGTCTTGGCCTCTCCGCGCACCGTTTTCACACAGGGTGTCAAACGTTTTGCCGAATACGTTTTCGTCCATGATGGTTGGTGCCGTCCCTTCAGAACGGTGTTGCCGCTGCATCCTGGACCTAATTTTAGGATCGGCGCTTGAAGCTTCTGCATGCGAGTCCTGCAGTATCGTTGTCGTTCCCCGTCGTTCCCCTCCTCCACCTTCCCTTGGTTTTCCTGCTCCTGTCGCTTTTTCTAGTCCAGCTCCTGCTGCTGCAGTTCGTCCGCGTCCTCATCCTTCCTCATTATTTTTGTTCGTGCTCATCCTCCCGCTGATCCCCAACCTCCTCCATTGTACGCAGTTCCTTTTTCCCGAATGTGCATAGCATGATGGTCCTTTTCGGAGTTCAAGGCCGCTATGACACGCGTCGGCAGGTAAAGAAATGCCCAGCGCACAGGAGAAATGGATGGGAGGGATAGGATGCCCGATATTTCGCGAGCGCACCTGGCGTGTCTTGCTCTCTTTCTCCTCCTGATCTTGCTTCGGCTCCTCTCTGGCTCCTCCTCGTTCTCTTTCTATCCTCCTTCTCTTACTTCTCCTCCCCTGAGCGGCCAGGCAGCAGGCCCAGCCGCTCTGGGCAGGCATGCCTTCGATAAGGGCTGAGGGTCCTGTATCCATATCATGCACGCAGGGGTCAAGTGTTCCCCCGTCGACAGGACTGACGACCCCCAAGCGCCCTTACCTTACCTTATCGTAGTTTACTTTACATTGCAAAACCTTACCTTACATGATCCTACCTTCCCTTACCTCACCCTACCTTGCCTTGCCTTGCCTTGCCTCACCTCACCATACCGTACCTTCCCTTACCTTACTTTACCCTACCTTAGTTGACCTTCCCTTCCCGTACCTTGCCTTGCCTCCCCCTCCTCCCTTTTATCCTCCCCCCTTTCTCCTCACCCAGTCGTCCGGCGTCTCGATGCGTCTCGAGTCGTCCCCGACGCGGGCCCCCGACCTCTCGACCACTTCCCCAGGATCCGTGCTTCATCCCGAGTCGTTTATGGACGGCCCCGAGGCCCAGGCATCGCCCCCCGAGAGGCCGAAGGGGTCATAGTTTCGCAGGCCTCCGTCGCGAGGATCCTCGAGACGCCAGGGGCGTCGGGCCGCCCGCCCGCCAGAGAGGCAGAACAAGAGCCTGCTCAAGAGCGCGCGGGACGGCGCCACGGACGGTTCGCTCGCGCGGCGCTGGGAGAAGTAGGTCCGAAGGGGAATTGGTACCCATACCACTACCCTTTCCGGGCTTGTTTTGATTCCCCGACGATTCGGTTCGATTCGACTTCGATGGCTTTCGATCCCGATTCGATCCGAGTTGGGATTCCGATTTGGGCTCCGATCTCTCATTGGAGGCATACTAGCCTCCCGATTTCCGCCGACCGATTCGACTTTTCCCGACCTGGCTGCCGATTCCCGCCGAGCCGATCCGTGTCGATCGCCGATCCGATTCAGCGATTCGATCCTGTGGTCTCCTGCCCTTCGCCCGCGCTCCCTTTTTGCGCCCTCCAGGGAGTGCCTCGTCGCCACCGCTGGGTTCGCCTCGAGATGCCGGTCAGAACGCACGCCCGGGGGCAGGTCCGCGGAGCAGCGGTGTCAGTGCCTCTTACCTCAGCCTCTCGTGCACCTTCGGGGGGGGGGGAGGGGGAAGGAGGAGGAAGAGGAGGAGGAGGAGGAAGAGGAGGAGGAGGAGGAGGAGGAGAACGACGATGACGAGGAGGACGAGGACGAGGAGGACGAGGACAGCGACGTTTGTTTCCGCCGCAGGGGGGTGCGGCGCGATGCGGCCCGAGGCCGGGCGCTGCACTGAGGGGGGCCCCCCGTCGGCGCTAGGCGCTAGGGGCGGGGGGCGGGGGGCAGGTCACGGCGGGGAGGGGTCAGGCGATCGCAAGCACGGATCCAGGGGCGTGGGTTTCAAGCAGTGGCGAAGCGTCTTGGCAGGCCTATAGCCCTACCAAGCGATGCTCTAAGAACCGGTCGTGGTTTCCACGAGATGTTCTTAGAACATTTCTGGCGTCTTCTGTTTGGTTTTATCACATCGGGCCTACGTTCTCAGAACATTGTTTTTGTTATTAGAACACTTTTGGGTTTTAAGAACATGTCGTGGTAGGACTCTAGGAATACCGGGACGGTCGGTCCCTGCTCAAGGATTAGAGATGAGTCCCGTTTCCATGGGAGATCGCAGACTTCCGCCGCTTGGCGGGGCGGCCCCGGCGGCATTTAAGGAACAAATCCATGGATCGCTGATCCATGGTTGCGCGCCCCCGGAAATGCACCCCGATCATGGAGGGCCGTGCAGTCAACGCTGATACAGTGGAGACGCATGCCAAGGAGCACCCTGCTTGCCTCCAGGGTGCCCTGGGCTTCTTGGGGTTCGACGGTTCTGCTGTGGAGGGCGTGGCGTGCCCACACCAACAATCGATGGACGTCCTGGGGTCTCAAGGTGTGGTTTCTTGTGGAAGGTTTCTTTTGGCCGAGCTCCTACTGTAGTAAGGATGGCCGGCTTTCCAAAGTTTCCGTTTGCATCCTGTCCCTTCGGCCCATCCTGCAAGGCCGGCCTTCCCCAAGCCCCTTGCATCCTTATCGTGCGTCCTTTTTTACTAGCTTTGATCATCGCCTGTGCATATGTTGGTTCATTTAAGACGTAACTCAGTCTCAGGGCCAGAGAGTGTTCTTGTGCGAGGTCTCTCAATGCGTGGTTTTGCTTTCTGTTGCGTTGCCTGTTTTGTTGCTGGTGCGTTTCATCTTGCGCGCACGCAACAAACGAGGGTGGGGTCGAGGATTTTGACAAGAGCAGCCCCCGACCCCCTCGAGTCAGAGAAAAAACATTTCGGATGTTTTGGTTACATGTTCGGCCTTTGGGGGCCTTGGTCAGTGATTGGGACCGTCACGCAACGACTCGGGATGAGAAACCAGTCCCGGGGAATGAGTCGAGACCTCTGGGCGTCCACATCATGAACGGATCACGACGTCGGGGGGACCCGGGCCTTGAACGTGTTGGACGGTGCACACATCTTCCTCCCGAGCCTGCCGAGGTCCGGGCAGATGCATCGGTGATGCGGCGCGGCACGGAGCCCGACGTTCTCCATTCCGACGTCGCCGATGCCTCGCGGATGCATCCGCGATGCGGCGCCACCGCCGGGCCCCACCTGCTCGGGCCGCATCTGGGAGGCGTCCACGCAGGGGGCCCCACGGGTGGCCCAAGGTGGCGTGGAAGAGCCGGGGCCGCCTTGGGCCAGGGACACCTCCTGGCTGTGGGAGGAGGGGGGAGGAATGAGGGGGGAGTCTAGGAGGAGGAGGGGGGGGAGGAGGAGGAGGAGGAGGAGGAGGAGGAGGAGGAGGAGGAGGAGGAGGGAGGAGGAGGAGGAGGAGGAGGAGAAGGAGGAGGAGGAGGAGGAGGAGGAGGAGGGGGAGGGGGAGGAGGAGGAGAATGAGGAGGAGGAGGAGGGGAGGGGGAAGTCTGGGAGGAAGAGGAGGAGGAGGAGGTGGACGCGGAGAAAGCAGAAGAGCGGGAGAGGGGGGAGGGGGAGAGCCTAGGAGCAATGGGAGGAGGGAGGGTCTCCTTAATCGAGCGACCCTCGATCCGCGACCCCCTAGCGGGAGGCCCGCCGCGGAGCCCGGTGCCCCTAGGGCGGCGCATCTCGGTGGCGCGTGGAGGGGGCTCAAAAACCGCGTGCGTTTCGTCGAAGCTTTCGATCGCGCGGACGACGACGACGTCGACGACGTCGACGACGACGACGAAGCGACGACGACGACGTCGACGACGACCACGACGACTACGACGACGACGACGACGACGACGACGACGACGACGACGACGACGACGACTCCGCCCCAAGCGGGCCCCGAACCCTCCCCCGAGGAGCCGAACAGCTCCAGTCCTCGAAGCCGATGTTCCAACCTACAGTCGACCCGCATAAGAAGGATGGGCAACCATCCGAAGGGTACCCGTGCATCCTTGCCCCTTCGGCCCAGCACCAGAAATGATCTCGAGCACTTAGAAACTACCGAAACTTGAGGGTTTTCACGTGTCGGTCCCTGGGAGGCGAAATTCGTTCGACATTTGGCCAGCGTGTCGGACAGACACTGTTTCGAAATTAGCTCTAGGATGCCGCCCTCAAGTATGATGGGAGCAACGTGAGGTTTGGGCGTGTACCGCCACCGTCGCCCTTCCAGCGGCCCGGTCCTGAGGCACCATGGGGGCCGCCGCAAGTCGGCCCAGGGTGATCAGTGCTACCAAGGATGGAGCTGGGGAGGAGTCCAGGAACATATGTTTGACATGATTCTGGTCGGAGGAGGCGGAGGGGGACGGGGTGGGGATTTCGGCTGCGCCGCGACGGCGTCGTTTGAGAGGTTTTGGTGCGTTTCTGGATGCTCTCGTCGGTTAATCCCAGAGGGTCTTTCAAGATGCATCGCGGGATGGGTCTGAACAGCAGTCCTGAACGGATTTGGGTCGGGGGCTGGGCGATGGCAGGGGGGATCTCCTCAGAAGTGCTTGGGGGGGCTCTCCTGGAGGCTTCTGGGAGTGCTCCCCATGAGCGGGGGCCCCCTCCCCCTCGGCGCGCCGCCGGTCAGAGCGAGTTTTCCGCGGGCGGCACGTGCGTTGAGTTGTCCGCGGGCGGCACGTGTGCTGCGCACTGCTATTCGGAGTGTACCATATGGGGGGGGGCCCGATTTTCTGCAAAGCTGCGCCGTGGCGTCTGGCCACGCCTGTCGGCCGCCGTTCGTCGTCTCTGACGGTGCCGCTCAGTCGCTCGCACCTGGCCCCCGCTGGCGTTGGCAGGGGTGGCCCAACGCGTCCTGGGCGTTCTGGCCTCCGGCCGCCAGGGTCTCCCGTGCAGGCCCAGGGACGCCCTGGGTCAGGATCCCAGACCCCCGACGTCATGATTTTTTTCACAACGTCTACCCCCAGGTCTCGCCCCATTCTCCTGGACCGGTGTTCCTCCCTGAGTCGTTTTGTGACGGTCCCGAGGGCCGGCAAGGGCCTCCAGAAGCCGAACGAATATCAGGAACATTTGTTCGTCATGACTGTTTCACTACCCGCGGGGGTCTGGGATAGCTCCTGGCAGCACCCGGCTGGCACCGCGTGTGGCTGGTCCGGGAGGGATGCTGCCCTGTGGCCTGCGCTGTGGCGTGCTCGTGTCCTGCGAGGCGGCGGGGTGTCCGCCGATCGGGGGCCCGGGTGGTGCCCTCCGCTGCGGGCGTCGCTGTACAGCTCGCATTTTGCAGCATTGCCAAAACATGCCTGCCAGGCTGGACCCCAGACAACGAGGCATTGAATGAAGTCGGGTCTGTCCCTCTACACGAGGAGTACTTAAAGATAGCACAACATAGTCCAGCGACGATCTGTAGACTATTTCTGGCTGTTTTTGAGTTCCTCCAGCATCCGCCCGACCTAGGCATTGAAACGTGGATGTGCGAGGTACGTGGTGCAAACTAGGTCACGAAACGTGTGTGGTGCAGCCGATGGGCATGGGTCGCAAAGTTTTCGGTGCCATCGATGTGGCACAAGCGATGTGCTGCAAGCGAGGCGGTGCAAGCTACGTAGTGCAAGCTATGTGGTGCAACATTTGGTGTGTGAGCTATGTGGTCCTCGGAAGGCTGTGTACAGATATGTGGCGCTATGTGGTGCAACCTAGGTGGTGCGTTGTGAAAGATATGTGGTGCAAACAACGTGGTGCAGTCCACATATAAGGACTTGAAATCGTGAGCTCACATGCTGGCGCAAAAAGTCCACCCTCCCATCCGCACCTCGTTTGGTAGCATCCATTCGGCCACGATTGCGGTTCCCGGCTGCAGCTTGTTAATTAGAGCATCTCTTCGGCAGCGTTGGTGCGCGAATGCTCACGCGCACATCGTTTAGCGGGTTCGGAATGATTGATGCGGCCGCGATGCCGCTTGTCAGTGGGAATTCCCCAGCGCGTCTCAAAGGCCGCGCTGGCGCGCGGGCACTTCAGCGCAGGATGGTGACTCGGGCGGGCTCGATGTCATGATCACGTCGACAACTGCGGCATCAATGATGCGAATCGCGATGTTGGTGGCGATGATGACGATAACGACGGTAAGGCCAATTTCGGCGCCGATGTTGGTGACAATGATGATGATATCCACGTGCCGGTGATGAACAATATTGTGATGATGATGGCGGCAATGGCGACGACTGGCCATGACGATACCAGCGGTGATACGGTGGCGCTGATGCGGGTGATGAGGAAGCGCGCGCGCAGAAAGTGTATCTTTTTGGCGGAAATCAGGTTGGAAAACTTGTGCGTGCGTGCGTGTGTGTGTGTGTGTGTATTCATCTGTGGCTGAAGGGCCCTATTTTGAAGTTCGTGGGGGACCAATGGTCTCGGAAGGATTGCGATGCGCGCGATGCGGCGGGCGCATGTGGCCCGCATGCTAGATCAGCACGGTTGCACCGCGTGTTGATATAACAATGTGGGTTCTAAGCGAGATTGTGAAAGAGCATGTGGTTCTCCTACTCAAGCCTAATCTGTGGTGTCGGGTCCTGCTTTTGAATGGGCATCGCCCCGCGTCAACTCCTTCTCCTCCTCCCCCTCCTCCTCCTCTTCCCTCCTCCTGCTCCCTCCTTCCTCCCCCTCCCTGCCTCTGCTTTCCTCCGCACAAAAATTCTGGCTCACCCCTCACACGTTTCGTGGAGACTCGATCCTGGGAGTCGCCTCGAAACCCAGAATCGTTTGGGTCGAAGACCGGGCTGATCGCATCCGCGAAGCCAGGACTCCCCAGGCGAAACCCGGGTTTCCCGGTGACCGGGAAACCGGGAATTCTTTAGTTCGGAAGCTGGAATTTGGACAGTCGAGGCAGGATTTCTCTCCGAGATGGGGGAGAACGAGGCTCGTCGGCGGTGCCACGTGACGAGTAGGGCAAAACAGTTTCCGTTGTGTCGCCCCCCGCACGTTGCCGCGCGATGTGTCGAAGAGGGCCCCGTGGCGTTGCCGCTCCGCTCGCCCATCGGCCCGCGCAGGCCTGCCGTAGAATTGAGAAAGTTGATCGTGTCAGTGCGGCCGACCCGCGCAGAAGATCTTCACCTCAGGGCGTCGAGTGGAGCAGCTTTTTCATCCCGACCCCCCCAGGCGTTGCCACACGGCGAGTTGAGTGGAATGCTTTATGCTCCTTGCCGCGACGTTGCCACGCTAGGAGTAGAGTGGATGTTTGTGCGCTCCTACGGCGGTACCACGTGGCGAGTAGAGTGGAGTGCTATTTGTTCGCCGCCCCAGGTGTTTCCACGTGGCCTGTAGGAATGGCTTCGTATGTTTGTCCGCCCCTTGGCGTTGCCACGTGACGCGTAAAGCAGTAGCGATGTAGTTTTTATTTCGATCCCCGCTCGGTGCCGCGTGGCGCGTCGAGGGGAGCAGTCCGTGGCTTTGCCGCTCCGCGCTCCAATCGGCGCAGTCCAGCCCTAGAGTCGAGGACTCTGAGTGTGTCATTGCGGCCGATCCGCGCGGACTGGGCAGTTGCCACGCTAGGAGCAGGGCATCGTCTGGAGCAGCTGCTTCCCGCACCCCAAAGGCGTTGCCTCGCGGCGAGTCGAGTGAAATGCTACATGTTCCTCCCCGCCGCGTTGCCACGCTAGGAGTAGAGCGGGAACTTTGTTCGCCCCCGAAGGCGTTGCCACATGGCGAGTAGGAGTGGGTTCGTCTGTTTGGTCGCCCCTCGGCGTGCCCCTCGACCGCTCGACCCCCCTCTCTGATATACGTAGCACTCCGCAGACGCGGATAAGAGTGAGGGGGCGGGCGCGGGCGACGTGGGCGTCGAGCCGGCGGACCTCGTGGCCCTCACCTTCCTTGTCGATGGCGCCCTCCTCCTCCTCCTCCTCCTCCTCCTCCTTCTCCTCCTCCTCCTCCTCCTCCTCCTCCTCATTGTCCCCCTCCTGCTCCTCCTCCTCCTCTTCCTCGTCCGCGTCCTCGTCCTCATCGTCGTCGTCGTCGTCGTCGTCGTCGTCGTCGTCCGCCTCCTCCTCAACCTCCTTCTCCTTCTCCTCTTCCTCCTTCCCCTCCTCCTCCTTCTTCTCCTCCTCCTCCTCCTCCTCCTATTCCTCCTCCTGTTTCTCCACATTCTCCTTACATCCTCTCCTCTTCCGCGTCCTCCGGGGGGATCACTGGTGGGCCACCCGGAACGACTGCAAAAACAGCCCGCCGCAGGCGCCGAATTTTTGGCTTGTTCAATGAACGTGGTTTGGGTTGCGGGTGGGTCGCGGGCTCTCCACCTCCACCTGGAAGGAATTTAAAGACAGCCCGCCGCAGGCGCGGACATTGTTTGATTTGTACGCTGAGCGCGGTTTGGGTCGCGGGTGGGTCGCAGGTTCTCCACCTGGAACGAATGCAAAAACAGCCCGCCGCAGGCGCCGAATTTTTGGCTTGTTCAATGAACGTGGTTTGGGTCGCGGGTGGGTCGCGGGCTCTCCACCTCCACCTGGAAGGAATTTAAAGATAGCCCGCCGCAGGCGCGGAAATTGTTTGATTTGTACGCTGAGCGCGGTTTGGGTCGCGGGTGGGTCGCAGGTTCTCCACCTGGAACGAATGCAAAAGAAGCCCGCCGCAGGCGCCGAAAATTTTGGGTGGGTCGCGGGGTGGGTCGCGGGTGGGTCGCGGGTGGGTCGCGGGCGCGGTTTGGGTCGCGGGTGGGTCGCAGGTTCTCCACCTGGAACGAATGCAAAAGAAACCCGCCGCAGGCGCCGAACATTTTGGGTGGGTCGCGATGGGTCGCGGGTGGGCGGGTGGGCGGGTGGGTCGCGGGTGGGTCGCGGTGGGTCGCGGGTGGGTCGCGGGGTCGGGGTCGCAGGTGGGTCGCGGGTGGGTCGCGGGTGGGTCGGGGTGGGTCGCGGGCGGGTCGCGGGTGGGTCGCGGGTGGGTCGCGGGGTGGGTCGCGGGGTGGGTCGCGGGGTGGGTCGCGGGGTGGGTCGCGGGTGGGTCGCGGGGTCGGGTCGCGGGTGGGTCGCGGTCGCGGGTCGCGCGGGTGGGTCGCGGTCGCGCGGGTGGGTCGCGGGTGGGTCGCGGGGTGGGGGTGGGTCGCGGGGTGGGTCGCGGGTGGGTCGCGGGGCGGGTCGCGGGTGGGACGACGACAACAACAAACAACAAACAACAAACAACAAGGAACAAACAGCAAACAACACATATCAACAACAACAACAACAACGACAACAACAATAATCATTTTAAGACTGTTCGTTCCTATCTGCTGGCGTGCCAATCAATACGTATATCCCAAACCCTCGGTACCCGCCCTCGTCGTCTTCGATCGTACCCCCTTGGGGGTATGTCTTCCTTACCTGCCACGTGTATGTTATGCAGCCCCTTGAACAAGGGAAGAGAGGACGGGTAAAAGGGGGAGTGAAAATAATGGAGCACGAGACAAATTAGCAGGAGGGGGGCAATGAACAGAAAACAAGTGGTATCTCCAAACGGGCAGATCGGGTGGGCAGACCCATAGCGGGCAGGTCGGGAAGGCGGGCCCAAGCGCCGAGGTCGAGCCGGCGGGTTGCTGAAGCGTGGGTCCTGCATGAATCGTGAGGAAGTCTCGAGTGATAGCGCGATTCCCAAGTAAATCGTCAAAAAAAAAAAAAAAAAAAAAACAGCGTGGGCCACGAAAGGCATACAATCCGATGCCACAGAGGGCAGCGACGTGGCCGCTGAGGGCAGCACCGGGGCCACGAAGGGCAGCGAGGGGGCCACAAAGGGCGACAGCGGGACCACGAAGGGCATGCATATGGGTCCACGACGGGAGCGAGCGGGGCCACGAAGGGCAGTCGTATACGGGGCCACAAATGGCGACAGCGGGGCCGCTGAGGGCAACAAAGGCGCCACGAAGGGCAGCGAGGGGGCCACGAAGGGCGACAGCGGGGCTACGAAGGGCATGCGTATGAGG